TTTCTGCCCTTGCGAAGTTGCTGGATACGTTCTGCAGCCCTGATGTGCCGTTAGTATGTTATTTAGAATGAGAAAGAGATGCGAGGCCAAGGCAAACAAAAACGAAAGGTGAAATAATTCCTTTACTTAATTACCTTAACGAAGAATTGCGCCATGAAGTCATGTGGGGGAGTGGAGGTACAGATCCGCTATTGGAAACCTCGGGACTAGACGGCGGTGAGTGGTGCCTGTCGCTTTACCTCCGTGAAAGAGCCTCCGGTGTCCATTGGATAGGAGGCTGTGTAGGTCTCAGAGCTGGCATATACTCTACAGAGTGGAGAAAGTCTCCTGTTTCTGCTGGGAATGGAACCCGGGTCGTCCAGTCCATAACATGTTTTATTTGCGTATCAAATAATGTCAGTTTACGATTATGGATAATTCCTGCTCCAGAACACTATGTAAAAGTCGAAGTGATTCAATTAATCCTTTGAAGGTGGCTGTTAAATTGCTGCTGGTCCTCGCCAGCGCAGTGATTCTTGGTTTCGAGTCCCACGGGACTCATGACCATATCTTATGTCTGACGGCTCTAGGAGCCTTCCAGGCTGTGCAGCCCTTTGACGTCAAGAGTCAGAGTTTCCGTATTTACGTATGTATAGGCCGCACATTTTTTTGCCAAAAATTCAAGAGGAAAACTGGGGTGCGGCTTATATTCGAAATATTCGAAATCACACTTCATTTAAAAAAAAATATATTCATAATTAGTAATACAGGGTGTAATACTCCTGAAATAATATTCCAAGAAAATTATTTTTTCTATAATTTCTGTCTGAAAATTGTGCTGCGGCCTATACACGCACGCGGCCTATACATGCGTAAATACGGTATTTTACGACTGGCGGTTTACCGCCAATCAGTTTGCCTTTGCGCAGAGCACCTTGAGATTCATGACCAGCGTTTTTTTTTCCAACGGAACCCTTGCAGCCGTAGCTTTTATATAACATATTCTGAGACGAGAGGATGGATTTGTCGTTTAAAATTGCTTCTGGTCCTCGCCAGCGCAGTCATTCTCGGGTCCGAATCCCGCCAAACTCATGACCATATTTTACTGTCTCAGATACCAGACTCCCCCAAACCGTGAGGGTCAGGCCCTCGTATTTATATCCCCCAGGAAGAGTGTGGCCCAGTTGTATCCCCAGACACTGGGTTCCAATTTCGTCTCCTCCTACGACTCTCAGGGCTACGGTGGAGGTATTAGAACCCGCCTCCACACGGGCTAACCAGCCCTTTGAAGCCTGATGTACAATAATAGATATAAATTCAGTTAGTACCTCACAGGAAACACATTACGTCTCCACTACAAAGCCCAACCGGTTAATGCTGTTTAAGGAAATAATTGCTGTTTATTGTGAGAACAACACGGAACACACAAATACACTGTGTAGGCAGAATGCAGAGTTCAGTTAGTACCTCACAGGAAACACATTACGTCTCCGCTACAGAGCCCAACCAGTTAATGCTGTTTAGGGAAATAATCGCTGTTTATTGTGAGACTCATACGGAACACATAAATACACTGTGTGGGCAGAATGCGCAGTATCTTTTTATGTTAAAGCAGGTAGTACGTACAGTTACCACTGTGCTTTTAAAGTGTTAAAACAGAGCATTGTTACGTAACTATTTGCGGGTCTTAAAATCGGTATGGATGTATATAGAATTATAGTTTGGTACACACCCACATGGTACCAAATTTCCATGGGTAACGGCGTGGTCAGAGTTCCTGGCTACAGATCCAGCGGTCTGGGTTCGATTCCCGGCGTTACCACTTTTTTTTTCTGAGAAATAGTGGGTCTGGAACGGGGTCCACTCAGCCTCGTGAAGATAATTGAGGAACTATTTCAAGGAAATAGCGGCTCCGGTCTAGAAAACCGAAATTAACGGCCGCGGGTATCTGTTGCGCTGACCACGTGACACCGCATAAGTTGGCACTAACTTCGCCAACAAGAGGCGGTAGCTCGGTCGGTATAGTTCGCTTGCGGACTGGAGAACACGGAGTTTGTTTTGGCCCCACAGTAAGGCATGTCATGCAGACATCATGCAGTTTTACAGCCTGCAACCTCCTTTCCTTTACGTCCACCTCCTTTATCGAGTATAATTTTAGTACCAGATATTTTAAGTGGTAATATTAATTATCAGTTTTATGTACGGTGTTTCGTAATGTGCACATAAAGATTTATGCCAGGTTCAAGAGCTTATTGACAAGAAAAGCAGCAATTTCATGAAATGACAAAGTATACGCTGTAATAAGCATCCTCTGAAGTTGGTACTAACTTCGCCGACAAGGGGCGGTCGCTCGGCCGGTATAATTCGTTTGCAGACTACAGGCCACGGAGTTTTACACTATAATCAGTGTGTAATCAGATGCGTGTATGCTGTTAAGAGTTATTTTGATGTGCAGAGGCATGCCGTAGGGACCGCCGCAAGGCCCTGCGTTACATGATGTGATTAGCTGAAACAGTAGTCCTGTCTGATAGGCCCACCGGCGGCTATTAATTAAAAAAAGCCACTACACAAAAGACACATTTACGTAACTCCGTGGAAAGGACCCCGGGTTGAGTTACAATTTCCCAAACTTTCCAGTTTGTTTGGGCAGTGACTGTGGTGACTAGGCTACGAGCTGGTCTACCGGAGAATCTGGGTTCGATTCCCAGTGGGGAGGGGCAGAAATTTCTTTTCCACCAGTGACCGAACCGGTTTTGGGGGCCCACCCGGTCCCGTGTGCAATGAATGTAGGAGGCTGTGTCCCGAAGGGGGTAATGCGGCCGGAACATCACGATAACCAATCACTTTTATCTAGTGCCGATGTTAATGCACGAATCTGTCTCTCTGCTGCTTATATAGGTCTTACGGCGTGAACTTAAAGCCCAGGGACACTTTTACATTATCATTGTTTAGGAACATGAGTGTGAAACTTGGTCTCTCATCCAGAGGATGTGTGTAAGAACAGGGTATTTAAAATACGGTAATTTGGTTACAGTTAATCCGGTTCGAAATATGAAAAATGCTCTTCAGAATAGAATAAATACTTTAAAAGATACGTGGCATTTAGGAAGGCAGATGAGTCACTTGTCTGTTCAGACAAAACTTGACAGTTTCTTCAAAGCTTCATTATTACGTTCAGAAACAAGTACAACTTCTGAGTCTTCTATCGATGAATAAAAGTACTGTCTTTTTATAGTTTTTAAGTAAAGGCTCTAGAGTTGTGTTTCTTATTTTCATCGGCACTGCTTACGTCATTAACTTTTCCATTTATTTGGGTTCTCAGTTTTTATTGTCTTTTAGGGCTGCCTTTTTTCACTAGTCCGGATGTCCTCCCCCCATTACTGTTTACTGTAATATTTGGATTAATGGTAAATGTAAAGTTATCCTCTGTGCTTAACTAATTAAGCACTACGCTATGAAGGCGTATGGGGGAGTGAATGTAGAGACCCTCCTTTTCTTGACCTCTGCACTGGCTGGAGGTGAGTGATCAACTTCAGGCCCCTACCGCTTTACCCCAGGGGAAAAAGTCCCCAGTTCCCATTGGATAAAAGGTTGGGTGGGAGCCGGTCTGGACGACATGGAGAAGAGAAAATTCTTGACCCTGCCGGGGCTCGAACTCTGATCCCTCGGTCGTCCAGCCAGTAACCAGTCGCTATACCGACTGCGCTACCCTGGCTCCTAATATCTTGAGGAAATGTCGTGAGGATGGAGAAAGCTTCACAATTTGTACTCGTCACCAAACACTGAAGTCTCCCTGCTTCACGCTTTAGGGTACTTGTACCTAGGTTAGGCAACCTAACATAGGAAAAGTCCCGTTAGATATGTTTGAATGTCCTACCGGGGTATAAATACCGGAATATGCTGATAATATTGTCACGTGTATCTTGGTAACGCGACAGTAAATAATCGGTTCCGGATTTGATAACTCGATTTATTCAGTATATTCCACGTCGTAACTACAATTCGTTATTACACTAACACATCAACTATTGGACTGCCTTGAACGAGGTCTTCCTGACGAATCTTCTCGAACAGTCTTCATTGCTCCATATATAGGCTTGGCACGGACCACCCACAGAAAACACATTGCTGCTCAGCAGCGGATATCATGTATTGTCAGGCATGACCGCCCATTCATTGCCTAGCAATGGACGTCCTATTGTTGCTCATTCTTTGCTGCGATACGTGTTTACCGGCCAGTTACCTAGCAACGGACGCCCTATATAGTTGGATGCTTGTTAGTTGGAACATGTTTACGTATTCGTCTCCTGGAAACGGCCCAATCTGTCACAATATGAAGTAGTAAGACTGTAATGATGACGCAGCTGTGTGCATCACGAACTCAAAATGACGCGCCCTTTTTCCAGTAACAGACGGGGGTTTAGCAAGACGGTAACACTTTGCAGGGTATGTCTCACGTCCGGTAGAAATGAGAAATGCACACATCTGGGTTGTCACACTGCCATTCGGGAGGTTCTCAGTTCGAATTTCGGCCGGATGTTATCCTGATTAAGGTTTTCCGCAGTTTTCCGTAGTCTCTCCAAGCAGGCCACCATCCGACGCTTTTGTCTCCATGCTGACAACGTCGGCGAGAGGCCACATACAATGCGAAGACCCAACAGTTGAATCAGTATCAATAAACAACCATCGGGACAGCCTAAAATTAGTAAATACTGTAATTCAGACTGTGGTCTTCCCGGTTGTGTACAATCTTCTGTGTGGGTACCAGGATTTCGGAGAATCGTACAGCCTCCGTCTTCAGGGATGAAGTGTTCCTTCACGTCGGCTTCCGCATATTAAGCTGCACGGTGTCACAACTCAGAAGACCACACGATCTGAGCAATCACCGGCATAGAAACCGCAAAACCCAAAACCTGCAATGTCTCTACATGAACCTAACTTGACTTTTAACGCCGATTTAGCTTTCTAGACACGTGACTACCGGTTCTGAAGCTTGCTAAGTCTTCTGTGACGTGTTGCAGGTGTCAGGCTGGCAGGAGAGGGCGCCCCGGTCCATATCCAAGGACTACGACGCTATCAATAGCAACATCATTCTTCCTGTCGCGGACCCTGCGGCTGTACATAGGAGTCATAACGCCAAAGTCACAAGAAAGACCAGTGAAAGTGACACTAATTATAACAACGTTGTGCTAGCAACTGGGACTAGTAGACCCGTGGGGACCCAGTTAAGTGATGTGTTCATAAGCGTTAAAACGACACGTAACTACCACAAGTGGAGACTTCCGGTCATCCTCAAGACATGGTTTCAGCTTGCCAAGGACCAGGTGAGGCATATATGTAGGATCTGAGCTTCTCACAACTGTCGTTATGAAGAGTGTTGTAGTCCGTTGAAAGCCAAACGACGTTTCGGAGGATCATACCGCCTCCATCTTCAAGGTCGAGCAAGATATCAGCGTGAAAGTAAGGCCGAAGAATAAGCCAAGCAAGCTCTGCTTGCCGTCTACTTTCATGGTGGTTTCTCGCTTTGCTCATTCTTCGACCCTGAGGATAGAGGCGGTATGTTTCTCCGAAACGTCGGTTGATTTTTCAACTAGCAAGCAAATACTCTGCTTGCCACCTGCTTTCACGATGCTATCTTGCTCGGCATATTGAACGCTGAAGATGAAGACGATATGCTTCTCCGAAACGTCGGATGACTTTCAACGGACTACACGGCGTTATATCCCAGAAGATAGTACTTTTCAGGTAAGGCTTACTTTTGCTGTTAAACTTCTACCAGATTACACGGCATCACGCCCAAGAAGATATGCTGACTGTACCATGGAGACGAGGGTGCGTCATTGTTAGTGACGTAGACAGTTACGTCATCATCAGAAAATTACTGGATTTATTTTCAACGCATTTCAAATATTCTTTCGCCAGTGGGAAATTCAGACGTACTTAACAAGGACTTTTATTTCGAAATTGCTTACACAAGGTACGTCATAGCTTCTGTATGCGGAAGAGGAGTCTGTGTAAGGTTCTCACATTGGTGGTTATGAACAGGCAATATAACGCCGTGTAGTCAGTTGAAAGTCAACCGACGTTTCGAAGAAACATGCCCCCTCTATCCTTAGGGTCGAATAATAAGCCAAGCAAGAAACCAGCATGGAAGCAGGTAGCAAGCAGAACTTACTTACTTACTTACTTACTTACTTACTCATGGAGCTGAGCCCTTCTGGAGGAGCCGCTAATTCTGCAGCCACTCGAGAATTTCCCAGCATTTTATGGAACCCGAAGGTTCATTACCGTGTTCACAAGAGCCCTCCACTGGTCCCTATCCTGAGCCAGATCTATCCAATCCATACCATCCCATCCTATCTCTGTAAGATCCATTATAATATTGTCCACCCACCTACGCCTTGGTCATCCCTGTGGTCTCTTTCCTTCTGGCTTTCCCACGCATATCCTATTCGCATTCCTCGTCTCCCCCATTCGTGCTACATGACCTGCCCACCCTATCCTCCTTGACTTGATCATTCTAATTATACTTGAAGAAGAGTACAAGTTACGAAGCTCCTCATTATGCAGTTTTCTCCAACCTCCTGTCCACTTCATCTCTCTTCGGTCCAGATATTCTCCTCAACACCCTGTTCTCAAACACCCTCAGTCTATGTTCCTTCCTTAATGACAGAGTCCAAGTTTCACACCCATACAGAACCACAGGCAAAATTATAGTATTGTATATTCTAATTTTTATGTTTTTGGACAACAGACGAGAAGACAAAAGGTTCTGTACTGAATGGTTACCCGAGTTCAATCGCCTCTTAATTTCCTCCTGAATCAGGTTTCGATCTGTTATCGTTGTTCCCAAATATCTGAACTGTGCCACATTTCCAAAACATCTGTTTCCTATCTTTATGTCATGATTTTGTCCTTCATTTTGGTGACGAGACAGCAACATATACTTAGTTTTCTCTGTGTTTACTTCTAGACCAACCTCTTTACTTGCGTCAGTTAAAGTTTGTGTGTTTCTCTTTATGGTATCTACATTATCACCCAGTAGATTCACATCATCGGCATAGGCCAACAGCTGACGTGTCCCATTTAATTTCCGTCCCACCTGGTTTCCCTGGACCTCCTAATTGCATATTCTAAAGCAAAGTTGAAAAGAAGTGGCGATAAAGCATCTCCTTGTTTTAGACCATTCTGGATAGGAAATTTATCAGACAAATGTTTACCTACACGGACTTTACTATACGTTTCGTTTAAACACATTTTAATCATCCTAACTAGTTTCTTGGGTATCCCAAACTCTTATCAGAATATTGTACAATACTTCCCTCCTAACTGAATCATAGGCTTTCTTGAATTTTTTCTCCAATATCTGACGAATGCAAAAGATCTGATCTATAGTTGATCTGTTACGTCGAAACCCACACTGATGATCCCCAATAATTTCATCTATATATGGACTTAAAAGAAGAATACTGGACAGTATTTTATATGAAGTTGGTACCAGTGATATCCCCCGATAATTACTACAGTGAGTTGTATTACCCTTCTTGTGCACTGGTACAATAATAGACTCCTTCCACTGATGAGGCAATAACAAGCAGAACTAACTTGGCTTATTCTTCAACTATGAAGATGGAAGCGACATTTTCCTCCGAAACGTCAGTTGACTTTGGGCTACCCGACGTTATATCCCAAAAGACAGAACTCTTTTGAAGTCCCTTGTAAATGCGGTTCAAATCCGGACCGTCGTGTTGACACCGCGTCTTGAAAATATCTAGTAATTGCCCAGTGATGACGTCACTGAGCTGCGATGACGTACCCACGTTCCCATAGCAGATGGATTATATACTCTGGTTCATAGATGGTCTGTGACATGGCCAAGAATTCCAGATCGAACTTTGCCGTTTCTTGCTGCAAGCTAAAATTGTAAGCGCATGGTTAACTGCCTTGGCGTTGCAGAAAATATCCAGCAGTTCATGACGTATTACGTTTTATTGCCAGCCTGTTCATTTCGACCATATTTTTTATTGCAATGTTGTTCCTTTTACGACTCGTGGCTTGCTGAATCAATCAGAACGTTGGAATTACTCCAAATGCAGGTGTGACTGGAGTTGTGAGGGATAAGTATGGCCCAGGCGACATTGAACCGGCTATAAAATCACATGCAGCCGAGGGGAGAGCAGCAGACAGGTATGGGCACCAATAGGATTTGGGGGGCACAAAAGGTTGCGTACATCCTACGTTTTAATTATAACTAAGGGTGATTTTGTTGAGAAAGTTATTAAACACTTTTGTATTCAGGACAGAGGAGCAGTTTTCTTGAAGAAAATTTCAAATTTGCTATTCATATTTGTTATCCCCCCGCTTTCCCCCCCCCCCCGAAATTTGATTTCACTTTGTAAGTCCATTGTGGTCGACCAGAAACCTGCCTTGTCTCCTCCCTTCCGTTACCAGTGAGCAGTAATTCAGTTTCTGAGCTCAGGAAATCGACAGAAGATGCCAAGTTTATAACCCGACACTGGCGATGCCATAAAGTAAAGCACAAAGACGAACTACCAATTTCTAAATGCATTGCTCGTGTTCCTACCGTTAACTTCCAAAAACCTGATCTTTCATCAGCTGATCAAGAAATTCGCCGTTTATTATGAAACTTTCAGGTTCATTACCGTGTTCACAAGAGCATGTGACTGGGCCTAATATTGAGCCAGCCGAATCCAGCACATATTCTCATACTACGTTTTTAACACCGGAATAGCGTAGTCGGTATAGCGACTGCCTACGGGCTGCACGGCTGAAGGGTCGGACTTCGAGTCCCGATAGGGTCAAAAAAATTTTCTTTTCCAAGTCCGGACCGGCTGCGGGGTCCACCCAGCTTCCTATCCACTGGGTACCAGGGGCAGAGCGGCCGGGGCGTGAAGCTGACCACTCACCTCTAACCAGTACCGAGGTCAAGAAAACGTGGATCTATACATCCACTCCCCCACACGCCTTCATGACGTATTGCGTAATTAGTTAAGCACAGGGACAACTTTACTTACTTTATATCTAGGCCAGGATCTTCCATGAGGTCTTCTCTGCTAATGTTTTCCGACCAAAGAAAACTGTGCTCTTCTAAACTATCGCGTGCGTGCTACATAACAGGTGTACTAAAACAGCCAGTTAGTCAAGGAGTCTACACCGTCTACACTGGTCTTCTGGGGTGCCTAGTGCCTCTACCTTCAGGGAGAAGTGATTGTTGTAGTGCAGTACTACCGTTTGGAATAACCAGCTCTGTCCTTCAGGGTTTATAATTGAGGAGCTATTTCAAGGACATAGCGGCTTCCGTCTAGAAAAACGAAATTAACGGCCGTGGGGATTCGTTGCGCTGACCTAGCGACATCCTCTATCCGCAAAAGTTGGCACTAAACTTCGCCGACATGCGGCGGTCGCTCGGTCGGTATAGTTCGCTTGCGGACTAAAATCACGGAGTTCTTTTTTTGTCCTTCAGAGTTTATGATACGGTATAGTCTGGTAAGGGGAGGGACCTTGCTGTCGTCCTCTCCAGGCCACGTGTTCAGACGCAACAAGCGCCGATGTGTCGTTACGTACTTCGGAGCCGCTGTCGATGGGTTCTGCCTGTTTGCGTGAGCTCTACCTACCTGCTGGAGGGCACGCCGTGGGAACAAGACCTCCAGCAATTATTAATCCCTGAACTTTGCCCTTCATCTCGACTCATCTGGTGTTCCCGCCCCCCGCGCCGGCTCAGTGCAGCACATATCGTGGTTCCTCCAGCACCCNCCCCCCCCAACCCCATGTCTGGCCAGAGGATTCCTCGAGACTCGAGCAATACACAGCTCACGGTTTGCCGAAATTACAACGAAACCTATTATTGGCTTTCAGTACTGAATCTGCCTTTTGCTCTTTTACTGTGAGAATCGAAAAGGAAATGCTTAGAGACACTGCGCATGCTCTGATACAGCGCCCAGTTAGGGAGATGGTCATCATAAATTACTGAAATTTAAAGAAAACCATAACTTTTCGAGGAAACCGAAATTTCGTTGAAATGGGCCTCAAATTTTTGGTGCTAGAATGTTTATATCCAGGGAGTAATTAACCTATGATGGAGAAACTCGTGAATGTCTAATATGAATAAAATCGGGCGCTAGCGAGGCGCACACACAGACAGAAGACATTCCAGAAACCACTTTTACATATTCAGAGGTCGTAGAAACTTGTAAACCCACCAGAATATTTTTCAGGTCTTTTTTTTTTCACGATCAAAATACTTACACGTATATAACATATATGAGAAACAAAAGAACATCGGGAATATTCATCATGCTGATAA